CGGAATTAGTTACGCCGTTATTATTTTGATTAGTCACTAATCAATATTGTAATTTTTAATTTACTTATTCAATGAATTGGGTATAGTTTTTACGTTGTTTGTTTAAACAATAGTTTAGAAGTATGTTGGTTCTACAGAGTATTCTGTTGTGTTACGGCATTSACTCGTGGGAATATTTGAAGTCTATTATTGATCGTTATTTATGCAATGGCGAAACGTCTGATTTGGAGGTAAACAATATTATAATGTATCTTTAGTATAAGTTAATCATTAATTTTGGTATATTTTTAGCTTACTATTAGCGATTTGATTTCACTTATCTAAAAATTACAATTCATCATTATTATTTCCATAACAAAATATATCTTAGACAATTATCATGATTCATTGATTTTTACTTTTTGTTAGAATGTATAATTATTAATTGAAATTCTGAASGCTGAGATGTGACTACTCATTGGTAATTAGTGGTTAAAAATTATTTGTTTTTTTTCTGTCCCTCCATTTATTTTATATTACAATTTTACTTTGTTTTGATACTTAATTTTTATTATTACCACAGAACAATATATGCTATTACTAATTTTGATAAAGAATGGTCTGATTTTGTAACAATTAAAGGTAAAATAATAATACAATTAAACAAACAATAATACTATTAAATAAATAAATATATTAAAAATTATGTTAATCGGTTAACCATTAAATTTTTAATGTTATGAATTACCAGATGCAGAGTATTTTCATAATTTGCTTTTGAATTATTAATTCAATTTTCTTTATTATTTTATATTTTGTACTTAAATAAAAGCAAATTCAAGGACATACATCTCAGGCCATTAAGAAACCCCTAATCTTGAGTCCTTGGTACAATTCTCATCTGCTATATCGGTCACTGGCTACCTTATTCAAAAATATTTAATCAATACAATTTTTGACTGTATCTAATGGATACTTCTAGGTTTGTAGCATTAGCTTTAACAATGAGTTCTTCATTAGGTGTACAGTGTTTAGTTAAAATCTATATGAAAACGATCATTTTTATTTCAGCAGTTTTCACAACGATTCTTATACTTTTTAATGKTTTTTTATGATTTTAGTATTATTAAATTATTTTAATCAACAAAATAATCATTTAGTTATTTTAAATATAGATTAATATATTGACAAAATAATCTCTAGTTGCATTGTATTTTGATTTGTACAGATAGTA